TGTGGCCATGCAAACAGGCGGCGCCCCTGAATGCCTCGCCAGCACCCCACCTGGCCCCTCCCCCCACCAGGAAGGGGTGTCCCCTGATTCAAGGGCAGATCTTTGAGGGGATGGATGGCCCAGGCATTATGTCATGGTCCTCACACCGAGCCAGGGAGGGGTGAGGCAGAGTCTTGCCCCTCAGAGAATGGGGAAACCGAGGCTCAGAGAGGTCTGCAGGGCAGACACCCCGCGATGTGCTGCCCCTGTGCCACACTAGCCCCAGGCATGCGGGTCACAAGCCCACTGTGTGGGGAGAGGGCCCACGTCTGACCCCGGCAGCTCTGGCTGCGACAGCTCTGTGGTGCCCTTCCAGCCCAGCTGGGTGGCGCCCAGTGCCCGCTGGCCCCGCCCCCGCCCGCGCCCACCTATGCAGATCTGGGTGGTGACGTTCTTCAGGAAGGCGTCCTCCAGCAGCTCGGCGTAGTTCTCTTTGACCAGCGAGAGCCCCGGCCGGCCCCGGGAGGCCAGGCCTTGGCAGGAAATCACGTTGAGCTGGTCAGAGCCCGCGACGAAGCCGAACACGTCCTTGATGCCCACGGAGACCACCTGTGGGGAGGGACCGCATCAGCCAGCCCCAGTGGGGAGAGTGCCCACACTGCAGGGTGCGAAGGTGGCCGTGTGCGGCGTGGACGTGGCCCCACCTGAATGTCAGGGCCGCAGAGCACGCTGAGGGGTGTGGTGTCCCTCTGGGTGTCCGAGCGGCCGTCTGTGATGACCAGGGCGATCCGGTTGTTCTGAGTGGGTGGCAGGAGCCGGTCCCGGGTGTACTGCAGGGCCTCCCCTGTGAACGTGCCACCCGCCATCCACTGCAGCTTCTTGATGGCTCTGTAGGGCCACAGCACAGTCAGCACCGGGGCCAGGGCTGGACCAGGGCTCGGGCCAGGTACAGGGTCAGCACTGGGGTTAAGGGTCAGCCTGGGCCTGCTGCAGGGGGTGGTCAGCACCGGGGTCAGGGGTCAGCCTGGGCCTGTTGCAGGGCTGGGTCAGCACTGGGGTCAGGGGTCAGCCTGTGCCTGCTGCAGGGGCTGGGTCAGCACTGGGGTCAGGGGTCAGCCTGGGCCTGCTGCAGGGGCTGGGTCAGCACTGGGGTCAGGGGTCAGCCTGGGCCTGCTGCAGGGGCTGGGTCAGCACCCGGGTCAGGGGTCAGCCTGGGCCTGCTGCAGGGGCTGGGTCGGCACTGGGGTCAGGGGTGAGCAGAGGCTGGGTGGGCTCTTGGAACTGCACACACGGCCGCACTGCACTCACGCCTTGAGCTCCTGGGCGTTCCTGATGTTGGGGTTCCTCAGGTCCACGTGCTCCTGCATCTGGTTGTGGCTGTACTGCACCACGCCCGCATGCGACTGTCCAGGCTCGAACTGCACAGGGACAGGCCCCGAGGTCAGGCATGGCCCGGCTGCCCCTCCCCCTCTGTCTGCCCCAGGCCAGGCCTCGCCGTGGCTCTCACATGCTGGTGGGTTGTCCTGTCTCCCAGAGCCCCCGGGACCTGCCCCCCTCCAGCTCGGTGTCAGGAAAGACTCCTGCCTCCTGGGAACCACCTTCCCCGGCGCGTGGAGGCCAGGGAGGGACACACCTTGACCAGCTCGTCCCGGCTCAGCCGGTCGATGACCTTGACGATGAAGTCCTTGGCGATCTCGAAGTTCTGCAGCCCGATGCTCTCGGAGCTGTCCAGCACGAACAGGATGTCGATGGGGCCGCACTTGCACTCTGGGCGCCGTGGGGGGGGGGGGGGGGGGGGGGGGGGGGGGGCAGCTGCTGCTCTACGCCACGCAGAGGGGGTATGGGGGAAGCCCCACCACCCACAGGGCTGTCTACCCAGAGCGAAGGCCACACGAATTAGAGAGTGACACTCACCACAGCAAGCTGGGGAAGAGGAGAAAGAGGAGATTAGGTGATGCAAGACCCCGAGTCTTATGTGAACCCCCACTCGCTCCCCACCTCCTGGGCCTCCCTCACCAGGGTTCCTGGGGCCTCTCGGTGGGAGGGGAAGGAGGCCAGCAGTGGGGGTGAGAGTGGCCCAGCCCCAGGGACATTCTCGCAGGTGGGACCCACACCTACCCTGCCCCCCCCCCATGCTCTTTCCAATAATTATTCAAAGTGGAGGCACTCACAGCACATTTTCATGATGATGTCCAGAATCTCGCATTCCTGGGGAGGAGGAGACACTTGCATGGTGGGCCGACTGGCCGGCCATCCAGCCAGGGCTGCCCCGGGCGCTGGGTGAGGCCGGCCCTCTGGGTCACCTTCCCGGGGACCTCAGCCAGGCTGGGGGTGGGCAGGGGCTCTCACTGTCCAGGGTGTGCCCTGCTCCGACCTAGGCCCCTGCTCCCCGGTGCGGGCACCTGAGGGGGTCACTGACATGTGGCCGTTATGTGCCCCCCGTGGCCGTGTTCCCCTGGGCCCGTCATGTCCCCTGTGGCTGTCACATGTCCCTCCAGTGGCCATCGCACGTCCCCCTGTTGCTGCCAAGGGTTTCCACCCCAGGGGGTCCCGAGTGGTTGGCCCCTGCGGATGTTCACAGACCCCACTTACATCCGGTCCTGGTGGTCCCGTGTGTCCTGGGGGTCCCTGTCAGGGAGAAGATGGGGGGAGCGCTGCAGGGTCTGCCCCGGGGCCCCACTCGCCAGGTTCCTGAACTGCGGGTCTGACAGGAGCTCTTGGCCAGCCCCCCTGGCCCTTGGGACCCCACCTCCCAGCAGGAGCCCCCTGGACGCCAGGGACAGCGGTGGCTTCTGCACATGAAGGGCTGGGAGAACCGTCTATTATGCGACCACTCAGCACAGTCTCTTCTGGGTGCCAGTGGGTGTGCGGCCGTGACCCTGTGTGCAGCCTGCCCACGCTCACTGCCCGTCCAGTCCAACGGCACCTCCTCCGTGGGCAGGGGCCCCAGGCCTGGGTGCCAGACCTCACCTGGGCCCTGCCCTGGGCTTTGCTGTGCTTCTGTCTCTGTCACCTGGTGACCGGCCCCTTCTCCCTCCCCATTCAGCACCCCCAATGTGCCCTCGGAACCGTCTGTTCTCTCTGATCCCACCTGTCCAGTCCCAACTTCCCCAGAGACCTGCTCCCCAAATTCCCACCTCCTCTCCCCAGGCCCCTCTCTACCCACCACAGCCTCAGAGTCGCAGGTGTGTCCGTCCCCCACCAGCCCCCCCCGGCCCAGCCACGCCTCCACTCACCTGGGGGCCTTCGGGGCCCCGGTACCCCTTTGCGCCTTTGGCACCTCGGGGTGAAATGTCGTTGTTCTGGAAGAAAAGAGCTTGTGTCACAGACACAGCCACCGTTCCCCAGAGTCCTCCCTCGGGATTTCACAATGTGTGGGGGCGGGGGAGGGGGCTGCACTCACGTCCTCTCCGGGGTCTCCAGCTTCTCCCTCGTCCCCCTTGAGGCCGGGGTAGCCTTTAGTGCCCTGCAGGCGACAAGGAACACACGGTCAGTGGGGTGCAGAGTCCCTGAGCAGGCGTATGTGCTGGGCTGGGGTCCGGCCTAGGGTCAGTGGGGTGCAGAGTCCCTGAGCAGGCGTATGTGCTGGGCTGGGGTCCGGCCTAGGGTCAGTGGGGTGCAGAGTCCCTGAGCAGGCGTATGTGCTGGGTTGGGGTCCGGCCTAGGGTCAGTGGGGTGCAGAGTCCCTGAGCAGGCGTATGTGCTGGGCTGGGGTCCGGCCTAGGGTCAGTGGGGTGCAGAGTCCCTGAGCAGGCGTATGTGCTGGGCTGGGACCCAGCACAGGGTCTCGGGGAGGCAGCAGCTGGCCCCCGTCTCCCGTGGGCGTTCAGCCGAGCTCCTTGGATGGCAAGGAGTCCTGGCTGTTCCTTTTCTTCAACAACTTTTCTATTTTAAATCAGCTTCACTAAAGCAGTTTATATGAACTTCATTTCATTTTTAGGAATAAGTTTCAAAAGGAAAAAGACAAAGGAGATATTGTCTGCCCCACATATGTGTGTGTCCATGTGAGAGTGTCTGTACATGTGTACAGGTTCGTCTGTATGCACACGTGTGTGTGTACATGTGTGTGCACATGCCAGTAGCCTGGGGATGGGCTTGTACTCACGTTTATCCCGGGAGGGCCCCTGCTGCCCGGATAGCCCTGCAGGGGAAGGAGGACAGTCACGCCGGCTCTGACATGGGCCCCATGGACCATCCCAGCTACCAATCCCTGGGTACAACCCGCAGGCCCAAGTAGTCCAGCTGGCCAAGGGGTGGGGGTGGGGGGGCACTCACAGGGAAGCCGGGGAAGCCTTCAGTGCCATTTCCGGGGGGGCCATCTTCACCCTGGGGGAGAGACCAGTCCTGTCACTGTGGGAGCCACGCAGCATGGGCACAGCATGGGCACAGCGTGGGCACAGGGGTGGCGCTTTTGAGTCCCTCATCAGCTGGGAAGGCGCCTCCCTGCCCCGACTGCCCTGGGGGTCCCAGGCCCACCTCCCCCGGTCCCGGGAGCAGGCGGCAGGCAAAGCGTCCAGCAGTGACCGTGGTGACTGAGGGGACAGTCATCTCCGGAGGATGCCCCGCCCAGTTACCAGACCAGGACCTTCATTTAGACCTTATGAGCCTGGGGCTCGAACCCAGGGCTTCCCAGGTCTCAGGCAACCAACCAGGTGTCAGCCCCTCCAGGACTCTGTGCCCTCGGGCCCATCACTCACTCTTTCGCCCATCAGTCCGGGGTCTCCGGGGGGTCCTGCAGGCCCTGGGGCACCTCTGGGACCCTAAGGAGGAGAGGAGTAGGTTTGGCAGGAGTAAGTGGCACCTGGGGAGGAGTGAGGCAGGTCTGGGGCACGAGGTCTTGCAGAGGAAAACGAGAGGGAGAATCAAATAAAACAGCAGACATAGTCACAGCCCATGGACACAGACAACAGGGTGGGGAAGACCTGGGGGTGGGGTGGGTAGGGTCTGGCAGAGGAGGGGAAAGAGGGTGGAAATGGGAGACATCTATAATACTGTCAACAGTAAACAATATATTAAAAAATAGATAAAACAGCAGCTGGGCCGTGATTAAAAGAAGGATTCTAAACCTATGGTCCTGGGGCCCAGAGGCCAAGCTCCCGCCTGTGACTCACGCAGGGGCCCCTGGGACCTGACGGAAAATGGACAGGGACCCGTGGGGAATCGGGAACAGCCCACGAGCCCAACAAGGGCGTTCGGAGAAACAAAAGGACCCAAACATAGGCGTGGCTCCATGTATCAACAGTGTTTTGAAAAATTGTTAGGGTTTTAGGGAAATGCTGACAATAAAAATTAATAAAAACAGACCCTGTGAAGTCTGTAAGGCATAACAGGCCAAGAAAGAAAAAGAAATTGGAAAGAGACAAGCTAAAATGCTCATGTTATTCATCTCGGGGTGGTACTATTATATTTATTCAGTATTGCTGGTCTATCATCATTGGTACTATTTTAAATTTCAATTCCCCTTTTTTATTTTTTATGCATTTTCCAAATGTTCTAAAAGTCACAAGTACTAAAGTGAAATGACACATTTATATGCGCTAATGGTGCAGAGGGCTCTCCCAGGGAAGCGCTGGTGGAGGGGAGGGGGTCTGGGGTCCTGGCTGGTCCCTCCTGGGGCCAAGGCTACTCACCTCAAGCCCCGGGGGCCCCTCGTCTCCTCGGTACCCTTTAGGTCCAACGGGGCCCGCGTCACCCTGCGGAGAGATGGACATGCCCGCTGGACCCTCTCTCTGCCACACCAGCCCTCCCTGGAGGCGCATCACCTGCCCTTCTGGGCCCAAGGTCCGGGTCCCCCGAGCACTTCACAGACAGCCCTGGCCAGGCCGGAGGAAGGAGGACAAGGGCACGTTGTTCACGGAGCTGCTGCCCCCACCCCATGCGCCCCGCCAAGACCCTGCACTGAGGCCCTGTTGTCAGGTGGGTGTGTCCAGAAGAGGTCCTTCTCAGACAAGGTCCTTGCAGCCCCCCATGACCCAGCCTGCTCCCTCAACCATGGGCAGCCAGGAGGCAGCGGGCATACTGCTGCTCTCGCCACAGCTACGCACACGTCCAGCTGCGGCCCGAGGTCCTGGCCCTGGTGCGTGGAGGCACATTGGGCCGAGTCAGCAGAAATAGGAAGGCCAGCGTCATGATACAGCAGTTCCAGAAAGACACATGGATAAGGGATGGAATAGAGGATGAAAGTGCATTGTGATGCGAGAAGCTGTGTTGTGACAACGGGCTTGCTTCTAACCATACAATATCCAGGGGTGGGCAAGAGTAGGTAGGTCTACAGTTGTGATACAGAAATGCAATAATAACTAATAGTGCAAGAGTAAATTCTGTGATTTGTGTACTCACAGTCCTAAACCTCCTCTTGCTAACTCCTCTATGCTCCAAAGGAATCAAAGATATATGCAGAAAATACAGTAAGAGGGGTGGGCGTATTTGGAATCCTGTAAATGGCAGGACATCCTGAACAACACACCACAGAGCTGCAAAGTGCCCGCAGGCTCATCACAGCGACGTGCGACACAGGCTCCGGCGGGAAAGGAACAGCCTGGTGAACAGCCAGGTTCGGTGACACCCGGGACCAGGCTCAGCTTTCCCCATAGAGAGGACACGGTTTTCAGCCGAGGAGCTAAAATGCACATTCAGAGTCTGAGACCCATGTTGGCAAAGCTGTGGGTACAGGCTCCACTGTACACTCCCGAGGGGAATGTAAGCTGGGGTTAGACTGACAGACAGGTAGGAGTATTTGGTCTCTCTCTCTCTCTCTCTCTCTCTCTCTCACACACACACACACACACACACACACAATTTGGCCAAGACATTCTGCTCCTAAGAATTTACATTCTGGGTACAGCCTTGGATGTATTTCAAGATGGGTGAAAGATGGATGAATGGATGGATGGATGAGTGGATGGATGGAGGGATAAATTATAGGCATAGATAGATGATAAGTTGATGATGAATAGGTGATAGATAATAGATAATGGACAGAGATGGACAAACAGATAATGGATGGATAGGTAGACGGGTGGCTGGCTGGGTGAATTGGTGGATAGGTAATAGATAATGGATGGATGATATGTCTTAGATAAATAGCAAAGAAGATAGATCATGGATGGTTGGATGGACGGATGGGCAAACAGACAGATGGAGAGCCAGAGTAGCTGACAGTGCGACAGGCGGGTGTGGATACTTATTACAGTATTTTCCTGTAAAGGAAATACTGGGACACCCCATGTGTTCATGAAGGAGAGACGGGCCACTTCGTGAGTTCATACATGGGCAAGTGAGAGGTGCAGGGCAGGTCTGCACCCCTTCCCGACTCCTCTCCGGCCCAGTCCAAGGGCAGGCCAGACCTCTACTTCCTCAGGTAAGGAAGGCTCCTCCCCTCCCCCAGCATGGCCATGGAAGGCTGCACCCAGGAATTCTGGAACCTTCTATGCCCTACACGCCCAAATTGATGCTCAGCTTTTGGGTCTCACACCTGGGCTCCAAAAGCTGAGTGAGTCCGCCCCCCCCCCCGACCTGTGTATCCGGGGGCTCTAATGTGGAACACCTCTATCCAGGGCTCCGTCCCCAGTGACCCAGCCCTGCTAGGCAAGGGCAGGGGTTGTGCCCAGGGCCCCGGGCTCCCGCCCCCCCCCACCTGCTTGTGTATCCGGGGGCTCTAATGTGGGGCACCTCCATCCAGGGCTCGTCCCCAGTGACCCAGCCCTGCCAGGCAAGGGCAGGGGTTGTGCCCAGGGCCCCGGGCTCCCTCTGCTGCCAGCCCTGCCACCCCCTTCCATGTGATTACCGGCATCCACCCCCCACATCCCTCCTCTAGCACCATCCAAGCCAGGGTGCCCCTCCCCACCCCCTCTGAGGGCAGAGCTTGGGGGTGAAGTGGGAGTCTGCTCACTCAGCTCTGTGTCCTGCCACATGCCCACCAGGTGGCAAAGGGGTCCCTCTGTGAGTGCTGGGCATCTGGGGCCACAGGGGCTGGGCCTGCCCTCACCAATCCCCATTCTGCTGCTCCAGCTGCCCCCAGCCTCCAGCAGCCGGCTCCAGACCCCCATATCACAGGTCTCCCGGGTCATGCCCCTGGGAGAGAGACCTCCCCCAGATTCCTCACACGGACACCCCCCCACACAGCCGGGTTTCCTACCGGGTCTCCGGAGACACCGACAGGGCCTTCTCGACCCTGGTCACCCGGGGGTCCAGCTTCACCCTGGGGAGGAATAAGGCGGTGAGACGGAGGCCGGGAAGGGCGAGGCCTGGGGGGCCGCATCCTTCTCACGCTTTGCCACGTTTTAACCACGATGTGGCCACGGGAAGGGCGAGGCCTGGGGGGCCCAGAGATGTCCACATGTGCCCGGGCCACATTCTTCTCACGCTTTGCCACGTTTTAACCACGATGTGGCCACGTGCTCAGCTGTGCAGTGACTGGTGTGGTCCCAGGAGGCCCAGCCAGGGGGCCCGCAGCTCCTCCTGAGGCCCAAGGCCGTCCCTACGCTGCTCGCTAGCGGGGTCCTGGCAGCGGGGCCCCATCCCAGCTGCTCTGACCCTGTCCGCCAGGGGTGCTTCCTGGAGACCTGGCCTGGATTCGGTCCCATTTCCTGATCTCAAGGGGGTGGGTTTGGAAGGGGGTCAAAGCCAAGTTCCCCTGCTTTGATGTCCCTCCCCGAGCCCTGCCTGGGGCCTCACAGGAAACTCGCTCTCTGCACTGGGCACCTGAACACGCACCTGCCCCTCAGCCTCACATGGGGAGGAGTCGCAGCACTGCCAGGTCTGCGGTGGCAGACGGCCCAGCCCACATCTGAGGCTGGGAGCTCAGCACCCTTTCCCCTAACTCTGGATGTGGGGTGGGGCCTGCCCCCAACAAACCAGGCAGGGGCTTCCTGGTGCCCGCCCTCTCGGTCCGGCAAAACCATGCACTCAACCACGGGGCCACCAGCAGCCTCAGCCACAGGCCTGTCCGCCACTTGGCTGCCCACTGTTCCTGCTCTTGAAGTTTTAACAAAGAAAAGTTGTTCCTAAGAAGAACGCAGGCTCTGTCTGCAGAACTGTTTAGGGAGTTGTTGTGGGAGGGCCGCAGGGATGTAGAAAAGCCCTGGTGAGTGGGGCAGGCTCGGGGCTAAGGAAACCATGTCACATGGAAAGAGGTGCAGCTGGAATAGTGACGGACGGGCAGCCCGAGGGGAAGGCACGGAGCTGGGAACGCAGGACGTGCTGCTGTGGAGCATCACAGACCCCACAGTCAGGGTCCTGCAAACCCCTACGTCCCCGACAAAACCTCAGGGAGCAAACCACTGTGTCTCCTGTGATGTTAGGTGGTCGTTTCCGTAGGAGCTGGTCCTGGGGGCTGAGGGCAGAGACCCTGCCCTTTGCCCTGCTGGCCTCCTCCCAGGCCTGGCTCCCTGAGGTCTGGGTGGGGCCGAGGGCAGGAGCTGAAACAGAAATCTAGGGGCCGAGGGGATGTGTCCTGCAATTCTGACAGCCTGACCTCAGTCTGTGCCCCCGGCGAAGTGGGGTCCCAGCTTAATGCACGGTGACTCACCGGGTCTCCTCTCGGGCCCCGCACGCCTGGGGTGCCCCGCGGTCCCCTCTCACCAGGGCCGCCCTGTGTGGAGAGAAGAAGGAGGTGAGGTTGCAGCTCCTTAATGTGGGAGGGACCCAAGGGCTGGGCACAGGGCCGATCCCCACGCCCAGCGGGCCCCCAGCTGGTGATGCAGCCACATCTGGCATGAAGCAATGAGGCCCCGAGCCCAGAGCCCACCCCGCTGGACTCACCCTCTCTCCGGGGGGGCCGTCTGGTCCTGCGTTGCCCTGGGATGGAGAGGAATGAACGGAAGTGTTAGTTGAGATGGGAACTCAGCCTGAGTCTCAGGAACAGGGAGCAGAGGCCAAACATGGGTGCTCACCTCGTCGCCGGCCTCGCCCTTCTCTCCTGGGGGACCAGGCTCTCCGGGGTCTCCCTGGGGAGAACAAAGCACACTCGTCCATCTCTGGCCTGGCCAGTGCCCGGACTACGGCTGGCCTGGTCCTGGCGGCCCCTCCCAGGGCCTGGGCCCCACCCTGGCTATGGTGGAAGGAGGGTGGGGCAGGCACCCCGTGAATGCTCACCTCGTCTCCGGGGCTCCCTGTGCTCCCTGGCCTCCCAGGCTCCCCATCGGCTCCAGGCTCCCCCTGGAAAGATCAGAAGGGTCAGCCCCGCCTGTCCTCGCTGGGGGGACCAGAGCCCCCGTGCCAGCCCTGCTCACCCAGACAGCAGGCTGCTGCCTGGCCAGCCCCACGGTCCTCCCGTGCCTCCGCCCCGGTCGCGTCCCCTGCGGCCCAGTCCTCGCAGGGACAACCCTGGTTCTCATTAGTGAGGCCCAGTTTCCGGGAACTCGGCTCTGGGCCCAGTCGGTAACCCGTGAGCTGGAAGGTGATACCCGAAAATGCATTCCCGGAAACCCGTGCGGTTAGGGTAGAGCGTGTGGGGCGGGTCCACAGGGCCATCTCTCCTAGCACTTCCTGCGGCCACGAGAAACCCCAGGAAACGCCAGCAACAAAACTCAGCCTCAAGCCCGACCATGATATCCGTGCTTCGCCGATCTGCCCACTGGCCACCAGCAGCGCCAGCAGCGTCGCTGCCGCCGGCTCTTAAGGCTCTTACGTTCTGATTCCACCTGAGCAGGGGGCCTCTGGGACAGGAGGCTGCGGGACACTCCCGAGGCAGAGGGCAGGGGCGATGGTGGCGGGAGGGTCCGAGGCTCAGTGATGCGTGCAGGGAACGCTCCCTTTGGGCAAACTCACCTGCCCATCAGGTGAGCTGTGATGTTTAACCCATAACCCGCCTGCCCACTGAGCAGAGCAGCCAATGAAGCTGAGACCCAGCCCCCAGGGGGCTCACGGCACCCACCTTTTCTCCCTTCAGTCCGAATGCGCCCGCATCACCCTTGGGCCCCGGGGGGCCTTGGACACCCTGGTAAGAAGACGGCAGAGGTCAGTCCAGGGTCTTAACCAAGCCCTCTGGTGACTTCTTAGAGACCGAAGGGTATGAGCCAGTGTTCACACCTGAGAACTTACAGTCTGAAAGTATCGGCGAGAGAAAGTGACTTACATCGAATCCAGGCGAGCCCTTGCAGCCTGGCAGGCCAGGGTACCCCATCTCCCCCTGGAAGGAGGAAGGCAGGTTTGGTGGTCCAGTCTTTTGATTCTGGCTCCCCCACCCCATCCCAGGAAAGCCCCACTCCAGAAGACACCCCGAGCTTGGCCAGGTGGCTTGGGGTCCACTGGGACCACGGGCTCAACAGGAAACATCTCCTACCTTCCCCACTGCCTCCAGATTGCCCAGAAGTGCCCACCAGGGTCCCTACCTGCTGATGTCTGGAGGGAGAACTGGCTGTGCCCACCGTCCCTTCCCTGACCGTGGCCCTGGCCACCAGCCCTTCCCCGGCCTGGGGGTTACCTTCATGCCGTCCACACCGTCGATGCCACGCTTGCCCTTCTCGCCCTGTGAGGTGCAAAGGCCGAAGGATCAGATGAAGGTCGGACAGCACCCACCCCCGGGGCAGACACACGTCCCCACCGCCAAACTCACCTTGTAACCTTTGGGTCCCCTGGAGCCCTGTAGAGACAGGAGGGAAGGGTGAGGGCGGTGGTCCCCCCGTCACGGGGCAAGTTCCCCAGAAATTGGCCAGAGACGCGGAGGAGGGCAGCGAGGAGGGGGTGGGCCTCCCAGATCCCCGGGGAGGGTCGCACCACCAACCCCCCACCAGCTCGATGGGGCCCAGCCACACGGGGGACGGGCCATGCCGTCCTTGCCCAGGTGAGGGGGCTGCACAGCCCAAGTTGTGCCTCACTCACCTTCTCCCCTCGGCTTCCCTTTTCTCCCTACACAGCAAACAGAGAGGAGAGGGGGCTGTTACTGGTGTCCCGCGGCCAGTGCCCGGGGGAGCTCGGATGCACTTTGGCTCAGCCCCAGAAGAGGCCGCTGGGGCGGGAGGGGAGACATACCTTCATCCCCTGGTAGCCAACGGGCCCCAGGTCGCCGGGCCTTCCCTGAAACACAAAGGAGGGTGCGCGTTAGACACCCCCGGGGGGACAGGGGCAGCCTCCGCCCGGCCTCCTTGTAGCCCACTCCACGCAGCCCCCACCCAGCCTCCTTGTAGCCCACTCCACGCAGCCCCCACCCAGGCTCCTTGAAGCCCACTCCACACAGCCCCCAGGGGGCAGGGGCAGCCCCCACCCAGCCTCCTTGTAGCCCACTCCACGCAGCCCCGTCAGTTGGAGAGACTGGGCTCTCTGATTGCTGCCCGCTGGCCCCTGGTCCCCTGCTGGCTGGCACCTGAGGGAGCAGCCCTGCTGTGAAGGCCCCGCCTCCACTCCTGGGGGCTCCTCAAGGAAGCTCCAGGGAGGGAAGGGGGAGGTCAAGGGCCGCCAGGAGGAGCTGGGGGTGGGCTGTGGGGAGACTGGCCATGGCTGGGGCAGAAGGTGAGGGACTTTGCTGGCCATTTCCCCACCCCCCCCCTGCCCCATGGAGCACAGGCTGGGCCTGTGGGGAGGCCTGAGGGCATGGGGCCCTGTCCAGGGGATATACTGGACGGGATGTCTGTGCAGTGCACCCTCCGGCCCTGGCTGCCCATGTGGCCATGTCCTCTGAGGATGGTGACCATGACACTCAGACACCAGCCATCCTTCTGGAAGTTTCCGCAGCCTGGTCCCCCAGCCTCAGGCTCCCAGCGCTCCCACCCCAGGGTCAGGCGTTTGGCACTCACTGGGTCTCCGGCTTCTCCTTTCTCTCCTGGGAGACCTGGCTTCCCTCGTTCTCCCTGGAACACAAAGCAGGTCAAGGTTAGGGGCAGTTTCCCCGGTGTTTCTGCAAAACTTGCTTGCGTGGTCTTCAGGCACCTTCCCCACCGACTGTGGCCCGTCTTGGGACATGCGAGGTCAGCTCCACGTGTCCCCTCCCTCACACCCCACCAGGCTGCTGGCTGGACAGAGGCCCCGAATCTTTCCTCTCTACCATCCAATGCCCCGTTCCTGCTGCTGTGCTGGCCTCCCAGGCGGGCCGCCGCATGGGCACAAAGACCCCCACCCCCCAGGGAGCCCAGCCGTGTGGCTCAGTGATTGAGTGTCAACCCATGAACCAGGAGGTCATGGTTCGATTCCAGGTCAGAGCACATGCCTGGGTGTCGGGCTCCATCCCCAGTAGGGGGCGTGCAGGAGGCAGCTGACCAATGATTCTCTCTCATCATTGATGTTTCTATCTCTCCCTTCCTCTCGCTGAAATCAATAAAAACATATTTTGATAAAAGACCCCCGGGAGAGGCTGGCTCAGCTCCCGTGGTCAGTGGCCACATGGCTTCAGGCCACGGAAGCTGACATTTTTTAGGAGACGCCCGAAATCTGGACTTTCCTGACCAACGTCCCAATTTGTAAATACCAGCAACGCATCTTGATTTTCCACACCTCCCTGCGCAAGCCACCCTGGCGGGGCCCAAGGGCAGGCCCATCCCCCATCGAGGCCCATCTCCAGGAGCCAAGCACTCAGGCGACACTCAGGAAGTGCCAGCTCCTCCACCACAGGAGGGGGCAAGGGTGCTGTCAGACCCCCGCCCCCCACGCCAGCCCTGGGCCACCCCTTCGGCCTGGGGGTCCCTGTGCCAGGACTCTCTCCCATGGCTGGGGCACCACTCAGGTAGGGATGCTTTCACCATCCCCACACCCAGCCCAGTGGCAGGTGCATGGGGGTGCTCAGAACGGCTGCCTGGGGGTCACCGTGTCCCTCACACCTGGGCACCTCCCACCTCCCTCCTGGACGTAAGCAAGGGTGGGGCGCAGACACTCACCTCGTACCCTGGGTCACCCCGTGGTCCGGGAGGTCCTCTGGCGGGCTGCAGGGCAGAGAGAACAGTCAGCCCAAGACAGACCCTCCCAGGAGGCCCCAGGGCCGGGCGGGGGGATGGGGGCGCCCACACTCACCTGGCACTCGAAGGAGCAGCACTGCAGGAGGAGGGACAGAGTGACACATCAGAAAGCCGAGGCGCAGCTGCCGCACCCCCGATGCCTGTGGGGGCTCAGAGGGCTCGGCTTGGGCGCCCAGCTGGGAGGTGGGGGCCAGTGGTGACCCCCTGGGCAGTGGGGGAGGGTAGGGATGGGGGGAGGGGCTCTTACCACTTGTTCCACATTATTTTTCTGAAAATGAAATGAAAAAGTCAAATTAATTTACATTTGCAGCCACAGGATTTCCCGGCATCCGGACCCGGGAGGTGACGGCGCAGGGCCACTCACAATCATGTCGGTGATGGTGTCGATGGTCTGGCTGATGACCTCCTCCGCGTCGCGGCTCTGCCCCCAGTCCGCCGCCGTGAAGTTGCGCCGGTACGTGTGGTCTGTGGCGATGATGCTCAGCCGCGGCTCCTGGGTGGGCACAGCCAGCACACGGGTGATGGCAGGAACCAGGGTGCCGGTGACGGCTGGGAGTGCAGGCCCCTCCCCGTCTCTGCTCCTCCCCACGCCCTGGCTGCAGCTCGGTGCCTGGTCTCTGCACCCACAGGCTGTGTCCTGTGCCCCCTCCCGGGCCATAGGCCCAGGACGGGGCTCCTACCAGGTGGTCGGGCGTGATGGCCACAGAGAAGACTTTGATGCCCAGGTGCTTGGCCTCGTTCACCGCATCCTCCAGGCCCCCGCATGGCTCCTTGTAGCCCTCCAGGGGGTGCCCGTCGGTCACCACAATCAGGTACTTGTTCTCCTTCAGGTGGGAGCCCCTGCAGGGGGTGGGGAGCGTGAGACTTGGCCTGGCCCCCTCCGGCCACCTCTGACCCTGACAGCACAGGGCCCCTTTGGAGAGCTGAGTCCTGGTGCTGGGAGGTGATGGGGGGCAGACACCCCGAGGGAGACCCGACCTGGGCCCAGCTCTGCAAAGCGGTGTTACCTGTTACACTGAATAATGTTTTTCTTTGTTGATCCTGCTATAAAGTAGGATCATAAAAACAGACATTAAACAGAAAACAGAGTTCTGTGGGATCACATTTCCCTCAAAGACTATTTTGGAAAATGCACATACAGCCAGGGGAGAGGCACAGGTCCTCACCTGCCCTGAGGCGTACTGACCTGGAGCCTCA